GATGGCCGGTGGCTCAGATGAGCTCATTCGCCCTTTGACAGGTCTTGTTTTTAGTCCTGCTGGGTGTACATGCCACCCTCCTCACCAGTTAGACTGGTGGGGGAGCCGGTTTAGACGCCGACGACCCGTCCATGAGGCAGGTTGTACTGGGTTACAATGTTACCAGTAGCAGACTCATCGTCTGACCTGACTTTAAATATATTGACTGAAATATATTGATTTATTGCATTTTCACCCAGGTTTTCAGTTTTTCATAATTTTGAATACATCAAGCACCTTTTGTTGTTCTTCAACAACAAAACAAACAAACAAATAAACAAAAAAAGAATAAACGAACTGAAGGAAAATAGCCTTAAGAAAAAGACGACGAAGAGAGAAAAGTAGAAAAAGGGAAGTTCAAGCATGCAATGCTTAAATAGCAGACTTGCGAATTTCTCCTCAGAAGTCACGCTAAAAGGAATCAAGACGAAGCGCCGTTCATATATCTCAGTCATTCGTGAAAAAAAAATAAATGGATAACCTTTTTTGCACAGCGATTGATTTTTTTTTCTGTTTGGCTACTAAAATTCGCAGGAAAATCGGCTGTTAAGAATATAGTAACCAGTCTCAGCTACAACAAACCTTCATTTTCCTTCATAATATGTTTACATTGATTAAGTTTTTCGTTTGTTGAACAAAATCGGGCAAACAAACCTTTATTTGCGAATATCTCACTTCTTGTTACTTAATCAAGCTTTGTTTGATCAGTGAAAAGACAGAAACGTACTAAGATTCATCTCTTCATCAGTCCAAGGAAGCGTCGAATGTCGGTAAGTTTTCATTTTTCACAATATCATTGACCTTATTGCAGAGCTGTTTCATCAGTAATATGTGACGCATCTTACATATCACACAGCACAGTATACTTTCGGTTTATTTGGTCAGTTGTCTTTGATTTTGATGTTACCGTAGCCAATCAATATTTTTCTGAGTTCTGTGTATACAGTGCGCACGACTTTACCTACGCGCTTACTAGAATTCTGTGATTGCATTGTCGTGGTTGAAAGCAGTGTAGATTGAGAAATCAGAGATGAGTACCTTCAAAGTTTTGCTGTTTTTGGGGCTTCTTACGATTTCAGTTAACGGTAAGTCATTATTATAAAAAGACTGATGTTCACATTGAAGAATTTTAGGTGAAATGCAAAATATGACCTTGTGAATTTCACCAAAAACTATTTCAAGGCCAGGTTCAAATCTTGATTTATAACGTTAAAGCAGTGTTATCTTTTAAGATTTAACACAGGATCCTTGAAACCGGCCTAGATTTATTTTTAGCCAAAATTTGGTTGATTAGCCGGACAGCACAATAATTTATGTTTTGAATATTTTGGTCAAAATCCATCAAAATTTCAGTGTAGTTATCTACGATTTCCGCACAAAATTATAGTTGTCTATAACTTTGATATATGATTTTTATTGAGAAAAACATGTACATTCTCTTGTTTTATTCTGCGCCAATTCTATATTTTCACTTAAACTTTTTCTTTCTACTGTTTCCATCGACTCCTTTGCTAATACTCGGATGTCCATTTTTTAGAACCTCTTCTCTTTTCTTCATTAGCAACAAGCGCACGGTACAATTAATACTATGTTGTACTGCACTGTTTAGTTCTGTTTGTTAATTATCTTCCGTACTTATTTCTCTCTCTATGTTTTGCCTATCTATGTTCTGCTCAGCTGTTTTGTTCTTTTCCAATTTGCGTGATCCTCAGCAAGCATTTGGGCCGGGTTGCTCAGAGCGGGCTCGATTAGCGCTATCTAAAAAAATCTATAATGGAGTTTCCATTGGATGCAAACTAGACTTTGGAAACACGGACTTGAAGTGGAAAAAATACAAACAAAACAACAACAACAACAATAGAATAAAATGAAATAGAAAAAAAAAATGGAAAACAACTATACCGATGATACAAAATTTAATGTTTGCTAAAGACAAAACTCCATGGTAACGACTTCAGCCTTTCAGAAATGTAACAAATAGCATTTCCAAAGTAAACGATGATAGGTACGGAAATATACCAACTAATTGGTTTAACGATATACAGTTATCTGAGAGTTATCATTAGTACATTTCAGAGTCATTGGATTGTTCTGGAGCAAATTAGCGGCACTGTTCGATTACGATTCTAGATCGGACTTCAGAGATTCTGGTGTTGACAGTTATCTTTATTTCTCGGTTTTGACGAGGGAAGAGAGTGGGGTCGCCATTGCACAGATTGAACTCAATGTTACTGTTCAGTTGGGTTATTGAACATTTCTCATTTGACCAGTCCTTGCTCAATGTTTGACTCCCTACTGCCAGTCCTAAAGTTGCCTTTACTCGCGCTGAGCAATGTAGATCTCAAAGCTTTGTGGTATTACTGATCGGTGTTTTAGACCTAATATGGAAGTTCCTGTAGTTTCTCGAGCTTTCTATTTGATCTTCTCGCAGTGCAACCTGCTAAACAGAAGTTCGTATGTTTTGTAGCTTGGTCAAAGATTAGTGTTCATCCTATCTGTTTCCAAGCAAGAGGTGATCAACCTGGCTACTTTCAACACTACGGAGCAAATAAACTTGTGAAGGGATTGCGTCTCAAGTGGCTCAGCGGTGAAGTAAGGTAGGTCCAAAAAAATCATGTCTGTGATGTTCACGATCAAAAAGCAATGTATAGCGCCATTTTGTGCAACAAAGGATCATGGAAGCTTTAATCCTCGCACTTTCTACCAAAGAGCAGTTTTTTTCCAGTCTTTGTAGAAATGGCACAATACATTTTTAAACATGAAAAAGTGTGAGGGCTACACTCCGCCCAACATGCGTCGTTACACAAAATGGCGTTTGCCGCACATTGCCCTATCATGTAAACTATATATTGCTGTTTCAGATGTGAGTCCAAGGTGATGTATAGCAGCAAGTGGGGCTGCTATCAACATGCAGGTTTCAAAGGCTATCGGTTAAATGTCATTGTGACAGATTCAAACAACAATATCATTTTTCCTAAGCCACAATACATCAAACATACGGCTGGACTTTGGTATTGGTTACCAGGTAAGATTTCTCTTTGGTGGGAACTAGCGGTAAACTAGTGTGAGCTGCGTCGGTGTTTCTAAAGAAACAGTTGTGTAAAGAAGATAAGTTTAACACCGTAAAAAAGTACGGGAAATAACTTACTGACGTTTCGGATGTTAATCCTTCTCTTTACTCCGACGAAGGATTAACATCCGAAACGTCAGTAAGTTATTTCCCATACTTTTTTACGGTGTTAAACTTATCTTCTTTACACAAAGATTTCTCTTTGTTGTCGGGACTCGGACCTGGTTACAACCTTGGATAGGACCAAGTATAGGCGGTTAGTATGATGACGTAATATGTAACAACTACCTGAAAGCTTTGCGTTTTTCTTTTTTGAAAGTGAAATACAACATTAATTCACTAGTTCCTAAGTCTTATAAATATCTGAATGACAAAGAAAATACGCACAGCAAAATTAAAATGACGCCATCAAGCAAATGGACTATTGTTTCTGAAAGGCATATAGAGTCGTAAGCAAAAATTCTGGCCTGTGACATATATCGATTGTAGCCAGAAACTCACTCTACAATAACCTTATTCCTACCCACATCATAATGGAATCTTGAAGGTCTTTCCCCCCTTTCATTATTCTAAGTGTTGCGTGGAAGTATTTTTTAATCAATATGCTGTATTTGTTTGTGTTTCATGCAATGCCATTTTTGTTCGGCACAGGAGTCGATGAGAGGCATTCCAATGAGCTTGTCTTCACCGACTTTGCAACACCTTTCTACCTCGTACAGGGAGGCATCTTGAAAATTTGGTACGGTGAGGATCTGAAGAATTGGAACGAAGGAAACAATCAAGGACAGGTGTGCGTTGATATCTACGCACTTTTTGCTGATTAGTTTAAATACATGACGATAATGATAACCACATAGCTGTATAGAGCTATTTAGAAACCTTTGAATACTGCTTATGAACATGACACCTTTTAGAAAATCACTTTTATCCAAAGGGTAACACGCTGCCAAGCACTTCTGTGAAGAAAGAAATAGATTTTGAATTTTCTCAGTTATAGACATTTAAAAATTCAAAAATGCAAATGAAGTGACGTCAACTAAGAAATTGGTCCTGTTTTTACATTGTTTGTATAATGTTGTTCTTGGTTGAAGAGCTCAAATCATCAATCATGATAGTAACAATTGAGAGGTGAAAATGCTTTTTCCAATGTAACAAAAAGAATAATGTCCTCTTTCTTGACTTTCTATATTTTTTGGATGATTTAAAAATCATTCCTTAGTAGACGTCACTTCATTTACATTTTCTATGTTTAAATTGCCCATATCTTAGAAAATACAATTAAAAATCAATTTCTTTCTTCATCGATGTGCTTAGCAGCATTTTCTCTTTTGGATGAGAATGAATTTCTAATGAGGTCATGTGCACTTTAATTGTAGATTGTGCGGTTCCAGAAAATTGTAAGAGGTGTCCCAAATAAAAAAATGTATATAAACTGTTTTTCATAATAATATTGTTCATATGACAAACCGTCACCCTATTGCATATGATAGCGATAAAACTCACGAACACAGTAGATCATTTGTTGCTAGGAGTCATTACATCATAATAGAACTTGTAAAGCTGGTTCTGAATGACGTAAAGTGTTTGCAAAGTTATAGGGGGCTTCGTGTACCAAAGGGCATCACCTGGTTACAGCACTGCCGTGTTAACGTGTTTGTGCGATTCATTCGAAATCGTTCTTAGGCCTTGTCTACATTTGGTCGTCAGAATCGCACAAAAAAAGCATTTGTGTATTGTTCTTGTTTCCCCAGGGAAGTTTACAGCAACGTAGACTGAACATGATTAATGTGCAGTCAGAATAATCAATTTTTAAATTTTATCAGTCCTTTATAATAACAACAGAAGAAGTTTTAAAAAGATTCCACAACAGGCATAATTTTATTTTATTTCACAATAGACCAATCTGATTTTTGAAATGACTTTTGAAATTTTTAGGCTGCTACTCCTAGTAAATCGACCACATCTGTGCTTTCCTCTGAAAGTCTTGTGATGTTAAAAAAATGGAGGATTATTTTTAATAAACACTAAGAAAACATGGAAGTCTCAATAGAGATACAAGCAGTCTAGCTGG